TCCAGCATAAACCTGAGAGAAGCATCTGGGCCTTCAATGGTCTACTGTTCACTGAAGCCTCATCAGAAATGGCCTCAATGGAAAGGTGTCTGTCAAGAAGCCATTCTTAAAGAAGGGAAACGGAGAGAAGGGGCTGATATATACAAATCACATAATAACTGGACTGAAAATCAGGGTCAGCAGGTCTTATAGAGTGATGAATCCAAATTTGAAAATTTAGTTTAAATCATCATGAGCCAGCTGAGGTGCAAGATAAAACAGTAAGTTTACATGGTGGAGGCGCTGTCATGATTTGGATCTGAATTTTAGCTGGTGGGGATCTTACTGGAACTGATGGAATTTATGAATGCAGAAAAAAAATCCACCATGCATTACCTTCTGGAAAGCATTTTATTAGCATGACAATATGACAATGATCCAAAACACACTACCAAGGCAGTAAAAGAATACGTGATTAAAGCCCAGAGCTCACACCTTCAAGTTATTGAAGCAGTATGGGATCATCTTGACAGAACAAAAGAAAAGGCAGCCAACATCCAAAGAAGCCTAGAGAACTATTCCTGAAGACTACTTCAAGAAATTGCAGAAAGGCTGCCTAACAGACTTCAGACTGTGTTGAAAAAACATGCAGTCATATAAAAAAGGTTCAAAATGAGAATTGTACAAACTCTGTTTTTGCTTTATATACTTTTCCTGCCCAAGCATAAAGAAATGAGGGGTGGCTCAAGACTTTAGCACAATACTGTATGTTATTAAAGCTTTTCACATTCAATTTTTCTAAACTTAGATGAACCTTAATATAAAAAACTGTCAGTGAAGAACAAAAAGACACTTTGATAAATGCACTATTTCAAGTTGTTACCAACTCCAGTCATGTCAAGTTTCTTTATATAGCACATTTCATATGACAGGCATAGACTTAACAAGCTTCAAAGCAGAAGGAAAAAGAAGGACATTACACAAGGCAAAAACTTCTAAAATAAGAGATTAAATGGTCTGTATTTGTATAGCGCTTTACATAGTCCCTAAGGACCCCAAAGCGCTTTACACATTCACACACACAGGTGATGGCAGCTACATTGTAGCCACAGCCACCCTGGGGCGCACTGACAGAGGCGAGGCTGCCGGACACTGGCGCCACCGGGCCCTCTGACCACCACCAGTAGGCAACAGGTGAAGTGTCTTGCCCACGGACACAACGACCAAGACTGTCGGAGCTGGGGCTCGAACCGGCAACCTTCCGATTACAAGACGAACTGCCAACTCTTGAGCCACGATCACCTTTTACACTTTAAAATGGGATTTTGATGAGCAGGATGAAAGATATAGGAATAAAAATAACACTGATCCTGAAAAATTTCCCCATTGATCACACACGTGCAAAAAGAGATACGCTTTGAGTCTCTTTTTAAAAGAACACACTGGTGTAGCAGTAGTAGTTGTAGTAAGTGGTAGAGTGGGACCATAAAACTAGATGATTTAGAAATCATTCAGTATTTGCTTTGTGATTCAAGCGATGCCAGGAGGTCTAGATTCAGGAAGCACATCGACAGAGTGAAAAGAGGCTGTCATTCATCGATTTTACAAGCAGTGAGAAATTATTTTACTGGGAGGCGAAGAGAAGAAGAAATAAGAAGGATGTTTAAACTTTTTGGTTTTATTTAAGACTCTCCCTGCAACTCTGCCGTCAGCTTTCAGGCCCCACTTCTGTGGAACCAACTCCCAGTTTGGATATAAAAGACACCCACCCTTTGTTCCAGCTTATAGTTACAGCTGGATCAGATGACCCTGAATCCTCCCAGTTACACTGTAATAGGCCTAGACTGCTGAGGGCTTCCTATGACGCACTGATTCTTCTTCCCTTATTTCTTTTCTGTGTGTTTAAACACATCTCTGCATTTAATCATTAGTTATTAATCTCTTATTATGGCTCTCTTCCACAGCATGTGTTTTATCTTGTCTACCACCCTTCACCCCCAACCTGTCACACCACATGGCTGCCCCTGCCTGAGCCTGGCTATGCTTGAGTTTTCCCCCTGTTAAAAGGGAGTTTTTCTTCCCTGCTGTCGCCAAGTCAATGTTTGACTGTTGGGGTTATTCCTTTGATTTGGTGAAATATAATTATGCATATATTTACTTAATAGCTGCATTGTTACAGTAGGAAAAGGTGCATAACTTTCTATTGAAAATAAAAGCATCAGAAAAGGCTGAGACTGTGACAGGAAGCACCTACAACTGTAGATATGTTGTTTTTTAAAGATGATAAAAGGCCGGCTTGGAGATAGTGAGCATGTGCTTCTACAAGCTAAGATCACACCCACATTTTTGGCATGCTTCGGGTTTTTTCCGTCACGCAAGTTAACACGGAGTGAAGCCTTGGGATCTACTAAAACATTTATTTTGCCCTCATTTAGTTGTAAAATACATTTGGGCATCCAATTATGAACCCTGGCAATGCAATGGGTGCGGTTCTTCATGAGACTAAGGATGTTGGCGGATACAGATATGTTTACCAAGGCTCCAATGGAAGATTGACACCACTTTCATGTTTGCATACTAAACAGTTTCAGCTGCTTAGCTCAGCTTAGCACAGAGACTGGAAACGATGGACATACAGCAGCAACTAAGTGTCTCAAGGTCACCAATTGAAAAACTGTGTTTTTTTAAATGAAGTTGTCAAAGAAGGAAAAATGTGTTACCTTAATTTCAATTAATTAGTGTCATGTTTTTGTTTTTTAACAAAATCCAGTTGTATATATACCCATTTGGATATGATTGGCAAACTAAAGAAACGTTTTGTTGGTTTTAGATGTTATTCTGACCAGTGCTCATACCTTCTGTCCCTCTGTCTGCCTCTTTGACTGGGGGCTCGCTCTCCTCTCTGTACCCCTGGGTCTTATTTCCACCTGGTTTGAAGCATTCTCCCTCCCCTCTCTGTCTGGTCTCCCTCCCTCTGTTGATTTAATGTCACCAGCGGACGATCGCTTTGGCTTTGATCTCTCTTTACTTGACCCTCCTGCAGTCATTCCTCCATCCACCAGTCTGTCTGCAGCTGACTGGCTCCTTGCCACCTTTCTCGTAGGCGTTTGGACCTCTTTGTCTTTTCCTCCTGTTTCAGTTGAATCTTTGCCTCGTTTAATTTGCTCCATTATTCTATTAGTATCCTCACTGCCTCTCATCTCTGTCCCCTGGGATTCTTGCTCTTCCCTCATCTCGGCCACACTCAGTTTCCTCCCATGTTCGTCCTCTTTACTTGCTTCTTCTTCACTTGCCTTGTTCTCTACCTCCCTAGTTTCCACTTTTTTTCCAAGTAAAGAAGAACTGGGGACTTTAGCGGCCCCAGTCAAAGTCTGTGTTTCACTGTGTGCCGTACCTAATGTAGCATCACTTGAGCTGTAATTTATGTGTGCAGGACCGGTGCCAGTGGCGGGAGAATTTAGACTACTTGTGTGTGCAAAATTAATGTGATCCGCTATCATCCCCTGGCCACGAGAAGCCATGTGGTCAAAAACAGGCTCGTTAAAAAGCGAGTCACTACATTCATAATACTCTTCAGAGGTGGTGGAGAGAGTGGAGTCCTCTCGTGAGGAGATATAACCATCAAAAATGTCTGGCGATAGAGAATCCAAGGCTGGCGTGCGTGGAGAAAATCCATCAGGAGTGGGAGTGTGTGCTTTAAGCGACTGTGATTGGTGCACAGGTGTTTGTGAACGGAAGTCCGGCAGGTGTGTTTCGGTGAGGTGTAAACGCAGGGCTTTTTCGGGCGTGTGTGTGCCAACACGTCCTGTAGAAGTTTGTTCTTGAAAGGTGCTGTGCGTGTTGTGATTTGCAGTATTTCGCATATTAACCTCATTGTCTACATGTGTGAGTCTTACTTGTTCACCTTGCTGACTGTGGGTGTCTGCAGCAGATGTGTGTGCGCCATCGCCGTTATGAGGTCGCAGACATGAGGTTGAGAACACTGGCGCTGTCGAAGAATTCAGAGCCTCCATCTGATCCATGTCCTGTGGTTTAGAAAATGATATCCTCTGGGGTTCATGTACTCTTGCGAGAAATGTTCTGCACTGTGTCATATTTTCACCTTTTTTGTCTGACACATCACCAGATTCAGAGCCTGTCAGAGTCCTTTCAGGGCTCGCTGTAGCTGCCTGCGCTGTGGCTACACAGCGTGCGTCCATCTTCCCAATAATCCTGCAATCTTCGGAAGTTTCGAGGTCAACATCTTTTGGAATGATTTCTTGAATTTTCAATGCGGCTGCCTTTGGTGCATCATTAATCAAAGCGTCTGACTTGTGCAGCTCGCTTCCAGCGACCATCTGGGATGCTGCTCCGTCATCGTCTTGCTCATCTGCTTCCACACTTGTCTCTTTAGATTCTTGCTTTGAAGTTTCTTCAGGATTCCCTGTGTTCTCTGTGTCTTTTTGTGCCCCTGCCTTACTGGTACTGCCGTCCTGCAGCTCAGGGACAGTTTGACACTCTTTTACCAAAGATGTCTGCTCAACAGCTGCCACATCAAACGCACTGTGGGCCACGAGTGGCCCTGTGCTGGCCTCGGGCCTCCTAACAAGACGGATCTCCGGCAGTTTCTGCCCATTGCTGGTGCTGCTGTCACTCATAACTATCTGTATGGTACGAGGTTTAGGGATAGGGGGAGCTGGGGTCAAAGAAGAGGATGCAGGGAGGGGTGGATTTGGTGTTGTAACGGAAGAAGTAAGAGGGGGAAGGGCAGAGGAGCTGGTGGAGGGAACAGAAGCGCTAGAAGATGTGCTTGAGTGCACTGTAGTAATAGGAATGTGGTTATTTTTAGACTGTGTGGCAGAAACCAGGGAGGTGGAAATGTTGCTGTGGACAGTTGGAGTCTGGATGCTAGAAGCCACTTCAGTAGAGATTTGCAGTTGCTTTTGAACAGCTCGTGTTTGTGAATCCGCCTGTGGTGGTGCGGTCTTTTCTTTCGTATCTTGTTCTGTGTTTAATTCTGGGGAGTCGGGAATCTGAGGGGTGTGTGCACAGTTTGGTGTTGGGGTGTGTGTCCTGTGCACAGCAGAACTTTGTGTGCTCAATCTACTTGTAGGTTCTGCTTCCTTTTCTGTGTTTAATTCTGGGAGCGAGCCTGACTCAGCGTGACTGTTTGATGAGACGGGTTGTTCTGCGTGGGAAATCTTCCCCTCGTCAGAAGCGGGTGCTTCGCTGCTGGATTGGGGAAATGTTTGTGCACCGAAGGGAGTATCAAGGCCTGCCTCTTGGTTAGTGGTTGTGCTTAAATCAAATTTATTCTTGGCGCTGACAGAATTAGCGGCGTCTGACTGCAGGTCAGACTTTTTCACAGATGCAGGTGATTTCTGTTCAGATGCCTCTTTGTTATGTGTGACATCACTGAGTTGTGCTTGCTGTGCTTTTTCTACAGCATCATCAACCATGCATTTAGCCTGTGCTGGTTGCAGTGCATTCACCTCCTCTTGTTTAGAAGTCGCCTGTGTGGGCTTGGCGACTTCTTCCTTGGATTCCTTTGTGCTGCTGAACGGACTGCTAAACCTGATCGCCTGGCTGGTTTCAAACATCTCTGAACGCTGCAAGTGGACTTGAGTTGGTTTTTTGGCATCCCGAACGTTAATGAACCCTATGACATCACTGGGGGGGTCAGGTTCTGGCCATGTGGGCAGGTATGCGACTAAGCATGCTTTTTCTAGATTTATTAATCCAGGATGGAGAGGAGGAGATTCTTTTGTCGATTCTTCACTAGCCTTGCCTCGCCTCTTCTTCTTGGAGTTCTCTGGATTTTGGGGTTCTTTGGGGCTTTCTTGGTTAACAGAGGTGGTGGGGCCGGGGTTGGTCAAAGCAACCAGGGCATATTTTGGGCTGTACAACTTCCTCGCAATGTCAGCAGAAGGGGGTATGACAGGGGCGGGCTGTGGGAGGGGTTCCGGCTCAGGTTCAGGCTCTGTGATGGTGTGCCGGAGGTCAACAGAACTGGAGGACAGATAGAGGAAGCGAAACAGTCGGTCGAAGCCATCCACAGCCTGCCCTGTAACCACGGTGATGAGATTCCTATCCAGACGTGAGGCCATCCAAGTGAAGCTGCACAAAAAACAAATATGAACAAATAAAAAAATGCAAATTCAGACTTATTTAAACTGCACCACAATACCACAAAACAAACTACACTACACTGCAAGCATAATGAAGTAATCAGCAATGACTGCAAACGTAAAAGTATAATGATCCAGTCCCTTAGGAACTGCACGGTTACTATGGTAGATTGGATACATTTACAACCTGTTTGTCTGCTATGTCGACAAGGCATTGTTTATTTATCTCTCGTGCCAAGTTGGCAGTTTCAAAAGCAGGTGGAGCACAAGGCGATAATCTTTTTCTGACACATTCTCCCTCTTTCTCACACACGTAATGCGCACTGACCTGTACGACCCAGACACAGCTTTGTCTCCATCAACGAACATGAATCTGTGACCCATTCGCCCTCTGACCTTGGTGCAGGACCTCGTGTAGAACTCCGCTCCTTCTGAGCAGCGGACACGAAGGTGCTGAAACACAAACAAACACGCAATTTTTGTACATATTAAAGACCCAAAACTGCCTTCATAACCTGTGACCTGCATTACAGAATAAAAGGCTGCCAACAATGTGAGTAGAGACTGTGAGTCACACTACGTCAGCCAAAGAACAATAACATCCACAAATAATAGTAATATCAAACATTTACAACTCAAATGTAGCCAATGTAGAATTTTCTTTTTTTGCTAACAAACAACTGTTTGCCTGGCATTTTGGTACTTCTTAATAATAATCCCTAAAACATAGATACAGAAGTCCTTAGCAGTCATTTTCCACTTACTGCCTTAATCTAAGGTAATTGCTCCATGTGTTCAAACATCTGAGCAATTACACAAACTACAGCCAGTGTAAACACTCTGCTTAAAACTTACACAACCCACATTATGATGTCTGGCTTGTCTTTACTTGATTTGAAAGCCTATATTCCCCACCTTTGTTGGAAACTGTCTGTTTTTTCATGCCTCTTAAAAGCACAGCATATGTGTTATAAAATAAGCCTTCTGAGTCAGTTTTCCTGCACCTGCTTTTGCCTATAATGTGTTAAGGCTCAAAGCCTATAATGAAAATAATTATTCCTTTCAACAGAAAACATGTTTTCCTTCCATCTGTCCATTGTCATTAGCCATTTCTGGGTCCAATAACTTCTTCTGATCTCAAAATCAAACAAATGTTGAAATACACACTGCAGGTCTTAATGCTCAATTCCGAATTTTTGGATCAAATCCAAATTTTTGGTCTGCTTGTACAACACTACAAATAAAATGTGACAGCAAACGTGCTCTAGTCTGAATCCTCAAAGCGGCCCGCATGCGCAAAAGACGATGTCTCACACACTGCACTCTGTTTAGATCCAGACCAAGCACTATGGTTTGACTGATGGCCGTTAATATAAAGACTTGTTTTGGACTTTACGTTTCCTAATTTTTGCTTTAAGTTATTTTGTAAAATCTAATAATTATCTTTATTGCTGTTTTAGAGAGGAGCAGTGCTTCAAAGGATTATACAGTACAAAATAAAATTAAAATTTTCACGTTTCTCCAACGTTTCTCCAACGTTTCTCCAACGTCGTCTTCTCACCAGTTTCACTAACATCTACACTGGATAACCAGGAAGAGTTTGCGATGTCTTCTCGGTGCTTGTCCAGAGCTGATAATTGTTGTCTGTCTTGTGTCCGTGACGTAAAAGATGGATTTAATGCGACATGACCGTTCAAACAGCAGTCGCTTTCTAAAACATCGGATATGTATCGGATTCAGTACCACATACGAAAGTGACCCAGATCGGATTTAAAAATATCGGATTTGTGCCATTCACACTGTCATAGCATGATCGGATATGGGTCGCATAGGGTCAAAAAAGTCGTAATTTATGCGCTTTCGCCTGCAGTGTGAATGTAGCCTTAGTGTTAAAAAAAAGTCTGTACTGTTTTTAGGTTAAAACAAAATGATCCATGCGTTTATTCTCCCAGATGTTACAATAAAGTTTAACGTTCAGGTATCCATGACAAGTGGCCACATCTTTTTCTTTTCTTTTCCAGAATTCTGAGATTAAAGTCAGAATTCTGGAAAAGAAAAGAAAAAAAGACATGTCCACTTTTTTTTTCTTTGTTTCTCCTGTGGCCCTAATCCTCTTCCATACTTATGGTTAGGATAATATAAAACATTAGCACAGGGAAGATGGAGGATGAGAGTTAAATTGTTTTCAGTAAAAGTTCACGGTTTCAGTTAGTAGAGACAAACGTCATAATATGGCAAATAGAAGATGACGAAAATGTCTGAAATTATTCATCCACAACAAGAGGTTAGCCGTTAATATCCCAAACACATTTAATAGCCATCAACTTTTTCTCAGCAGCTAGTGGTGGCTGAAAAAAAAAATAAATTCCAAATTAAAAGTTGAACTGATGCCTTGGTTTAAGGTGCTTCTTAAACAATATCTGGATGTCCTTGTTAGACTTTCTATCAACAGTAATTTTGTGTTCAAGGATAGTTTTCTAAAACCTCTTTATCAATTAAAATTAAATTAACAAAATTAAAAAATGAAATGAATGAGAACTATATATATTTACACAGACTGCTGTGGTGACTGAAACCTGTGACCTCATCACTTATCCTACTGAGCTAAATGGCACATTTGAATAATATCATTCCTGACTGTATGATGCTAACATCGTGGAAAGAGCCTGATGTTAGGTTCACCATGCAACAAATGAAATACAACAGAGGTATACAAAACTGTGACTACCTTAAAAGTGTGTATTTCTTAAAAACAGGTTGCGGTAATACTAGTTTGTGTACATGGAGAAGACCAAGTTGCATTAAAGTCTCTTCACAATCATGTACTAAAAAAAACAAAACAGAGACAAATACCTTTCATTTCTTCTTTGCAGTAATCTGATATACATTTCTCACTTTGTAAGAGATGGGCTGACGCAACAACTATTCTACGTGACACAACATCAACATCCATATATGTACGGTTCAGTTTCTGGCATCAATCATTGACAAGTTTTGACCAAGGAGATGACGCCGCAATTTTAATCATGTTTGATGGGTGTTGCTGCACGGTTTGGATTACTCACTAAAACAAATGTCTGATCCTGAGCTTACTTTCACTTTGAAATTTTGTTGCTTTTAGAAACAGCTTAAGAACATGCTGTACATGAATAGTGCTAACAGAAAAACTGGAGCGCTTGAAAGTAACCACAGTAACTGAATCCTCACATCATCATCTAACCCAATGCACTTTCAGAAAGCAAAAGACAAATAGATACCAACTAAGCCTATGCAATCTCTGTGCATATACATGTGCAAACATGACCTCTGTGAAAAGCCTGTTCTCAACTATACCCCAAACATATAAAATAATGTATGTTGCAATGCTAACATTTAACCACTGTAAGGTTCATAATAACTGAATGGTGCAATATCATTGTTGCAATCATAAACTGATATTAGAAAGTCTGACTCAGTCAAACTTTTCAGAGTTAAATGTTGCAAATATTTTTTATCGTAATACTTGCGTGGCGATATTGTATCAATACGGGAACACTAAATATTGATATTTTATTAAAGAAATTAAAATATGGTGGAAACACTGTGAACAAAAGGCACATGCACCACTACCACCCTAAAAACACCCCAAAAGGTGCTTTTAGGGTGTTTTTCTTCATTGTCTGTAGTGTTTAAGAGCTAAAAGTCTGTATAAAACTATTTTAAAAAACATGGTTTACTTCCATCACTTTTCTACATCACTAGCTGCTTGTCAACTCTGTTGTCATTGACCATTTATAGGTCCAATTGCTTCTTCAGTTCTCAAATATAAAATACCGCTGAGTGTTAAAAACAATTTATTTAGTTTCAGCTCCAACAAAGAGATCCCAGTTGTTAAAATAAAAAATAAAGGTTTAGGTATCCATGAACAGGTTTACAAAGTTAGGCAGTGCTATAAGCTCACAGGACGCAAGCAAACTCTCATTAAATCGACTGAACTGAAAGGCCATCTGACAGACTTAACCTCCTAATTCACAACAAGCTAATACTTAAGTTACATGAGTAAACATAGGACATCAATCTCCTTGCATCTACAAAAAAAGGGGAAAAAAGTGTGGCTTCCTGGTTACAATATTGAATTTTTTCACATTCTGCGACCGAGTGCAACTTGTGGTGACTCAGTGGTTGCCCAGAGATTGAGGGTGTTGCACTCATGACCACGTGGACTGACTGAGGTCACTCTCAGAGAGATTGTTGGAGGTCTGCAAAGAATTGCTGTCTAATTTATAAATGCAGACAGATTGCCAGCATTTTGCCATCAGTCTGATTGAGTTTTTGTCAATGAGCGCAACTTGAGGGACTCGACTCAACAGGCTGCCAGCTGGTTGTATTCTGGTTATATTCATGTAGAAGAAGAAATGTTCATGTAATAGTTAAATGTGAATTTCAATCTATGTAGACAGCAACACATATATATTCATGGATGATTTATCACGGTTAATTGTTGCATTATCCAAAAAAGAATGCATGGAAGTATTAGACTAACAATATCATTTTACAAACATAATACAGTAACGTTGGAGAGAGAGAAAAAAAAAAAAATCACACCATTACACCATATTGACCGTAAGTTGTGTGGTTCTTGTTGTCGTTACTCAGCATTACATAAATAAGCTCCATAAGCCCAGAGAGGTGTGTAACAGACCCTCAAGTCACCTTGACACAGTAGTCCTTTGGTTTGTTGTAAGTGTAGACTTACACTGTCTGACCTGGGGATTTTCAGCCTGCCCTTCCGGATGCCTTGACACAACTTTGAGTGCTAAGTCTGTCTGAAAGTGACATGATGCAGCCAAAACATTATGCAGTCAGTCTTCTTGTTTCAGCTCCTCCTCTTTTCTTTTTTTCTGGCATGCTTTGTCTCACAGTAGAAACACTTGTTTTCCTCCTTCGTTTAGGCACACCCTAAACTTTCTCCTTCCCGCAGTGCATTCCTTTGGTTAACTGATTCGATAAATTGCATTGCATGCTCCGAGTTCATGACGACGAGCATTTGAGCTGTTGTTCAATGCATTTTATGCGGAAATAAAACCACCTCCGAGTGCACTGTGGTTTCAACAGTCTCTACAGTCAATGTGCACGCTTTGCTAAACTACTTAAATGAAGCTCTGTCAGCTTGAAGTGTGGCAGTTGGATATTTTCCTAGAAAACCTCCCTGAATAACTGATGAGTAAGAAGAATTTGGTACCTTATTGCCCACTCAGGTGCCAGATTCCACTTACTCTCACTCACTTGGCAACTCATCTCACCACTCATCTGCTCCTCCTCCCATCCCTCCCCTCCAGCCGCTCTATCTCGTCACTTACGGCTTGTGGTAAATTCCCATACTATCACCTGTTTCCTGCAAGTCATCCTCTCATTGTCTTTCTTGACAGACTTGTCACTTTTAGAGATGTTTGTGTTAGCTGCTCATCGTCGTCACGTACTCCTGTCTCCTGGCTCTTCCGATTTTCCACATAGATGAGCATCTATTGGTGCACAGAGGGCTGTTAATGTCATAAATGGCTATGTAGTTTTACTTGGTGAAATAGGCCCCACGCCAAAGGTTGCCTGCCAGTATAACAAAGCAGCAGTATATGACACATCAGGGAGCAAGCCCCTCCAGTGCACTTCATAGGACAACCTAACAGACTCGCAGTGTATGACTAAGAGAAAGGAAGCACGCTGGCTGTCAAACAAACAAGATTGTGTCTTACTACACTGGATCCATCTCTTAACAGCGTTGTTTTACTTGCTGCAGAGCCACCGTGGATTAAACAGAATAGCAGCTTTGCATGTCATTTTAAAACTCTCTCTCAGGTGTACAGTGTACGCTGCTGTTGGCTAAAACCAGAGAGTGACCTACCTGAAGGAGATACACTTGTCTCTCCATAAATATTAGAAGAAACTGTGGCACAGAATGTTTTTTCTTCATACAGAGCCACTGTGCTATCAAATATTTAATTTACTTCAGCCTGTGTGTCTACTGTGAAGCAAGTAGGAGTAAATCTGTTAAAGACAGATTCTCAGTGCTTATGAATCTAAAGCAAGAAAAAGGTCTGGGATGTCTTAGTAGGAACTAATAACGTGGCATTTAATTCAAAAGGCAAATGCAGCGAGTATGAATCGCATATGAAAAACTCATTAAACCGAGCAACCGCTTTCACTTATCATGTATCATGTCATGTGCCACACAAACATGTGCTTTTGTCAACAAAGCAAACACTGCTGCTATTGAATTTCTTGCTGTTTTGTTGGCAAATTGGATCCAGATGGTACTGAAAGACTGTCAAGCCTGTTTAACTTTAGTTACTCTGAGGCATAAAGTGACAAGTGTGAGTGTTTGTGCATCTTTTCTTATCTGCATGATCTGCACGCATGCATGCTACTTTAGATATTTTGAAATATTTCTTCAGTACTACAGGGACCACTAAGCACACAGGTCGAGCCAATAAGGTAAGGCTAATGCTGCAGACGGTAGGCATGATCGAAACATAGCTCAAGTAAATACCCTAAAAAAATTATTCTTCAATTTCAATTTCAAATTATTCTTTCAATTTTGACCAAAATGTAAGTGAAATACATGAAATCAAACGTTTATTCAATCAAACAAAGAGCTGTTGAGGACAATGTGCTTGGTGTAAACTGTAACAATCAGGTAAATTTCATTTTGCCAATTTCATGGAAAATTTCCATTAAATTTTCTTCTGTACTCGTGGAAAATTTAAATCCTTTGCAGTTGAACCAAACGCTCCAACTGGAAACACCTTGCGTTGGATGATTTCAGCTCCTTCTTCCACCTGTCATGCAAAACTGTGTCCAAGTGAAACAAGCAGACCTTGTGAGAGGCCCCATCTAATGATGACTACGCCATTAAAAAACACTACACAGTGAAGTAATATGTGAGAACATTAATCCTACACAATGACAATTTAACCAGTAATCTATCCTAAACTGTTCTTGGGAAATGATCACACCTAACAGAAAGAGATTGCTTCTTTTGGTTGACTTAAGTTAAAGTGATTGTGTTTGCTTTGGCAGCTTTCTATTAAAGATTTATGCCCCAAGAAAACAGTTCAGTGAAAACGCATTTTTATATTCCATGAAACTCCCTTTTAACATGTCCCGGCATGAGAAAGATCTGTTTCATATCTGTGTTTTGATCGTAGCTAGCTACTTACGATATGTAACAATAAAGGTAGGCAGAGTGGGATTTATTGTTGCAGTACCAGCTGGGTGGATCTACTGGTGGTTGTGTGGACTCTAGCGTGTGTGCGTGTGAGGGAGACAGCGAGAGACAAAAGAGAGAGGGGAAGCCGGCATGTGCTTCTGTTTATCCGTGCATAACAGAAGTCTCTTGACTTCAGTTGCTTATTTTGCGAGATAATCTGTCCTTGTTTTCTACATCAACGGCCTTACAAAGTTATTTCAGGCTCAAAAACACGGCAAGACTTTCCGTTTTGTCCCAAAGGTTTCAATGCACGTGCGTTTGGGGCCAACAGGCAAAGACACTCAACTCGTCAGTGAAACATTTACCCTGTAACACTTTGACCTCATATGTCACACAATGAAATTTCACTTTCTATCTCATTATCATTTGAGTCGTAATCACCTTTTATTGCCTAAGACGGCGCTTTGAATGGCGACGTCTGTCCAACAGCGTGCTGTGGGAAAACTGAACGGCTGACTTTTATGACTGTTTTCAGCTTTACTTAGAATTTGGACTCACTCTTTGATGATAAGATTCAAATTGCTATGCAAAATGATGAAGTGGGTGGTTCCGCCTCACCTTGAGGTGTCCGGTGTGCATGTTGGCCCTCCGACACATGGCCAAGAAATGAGGTAGCGTTGCGCGTTCCAGCAGGATGTAAACAGAAACTCTCCTTTTGAAACCAGCACCAAGCAAATCTCTGAAGATGTCGACATCAGTGAAGACGTCCATCACCACTGCGATTACCTGGAGACGCAGAAGCACAGGCACAGGGACAGAACCTAGATCAACCTCAGATGCTCTTATGTAGTTCATGCATGAAAATGAAAACAAAATTCATTACAGAGCAGAAGGATAAAAGCCTCAGCCTTAAGGTTACTGTGCGAACACATTTTTATGCCAAAACAAATAACACTCAAGTTGTGTTTCAGGTTTAAGTAAAATATGTGTTTCCTATGCAGAGGGAAAGTTCTCCCAGCTCTCACAGCTACTTATACAACCGATAACTCGTTTTCTGTCTGAAGCTCTTGAGGAAAATGATCCAGCGAGCTCGTTTCAGGCAAATAACACGACACAGAGAAGTGATGCTAAGAAATAAGACATGTCATAAATTTCTACCTCCAGATGACTCAGCCGCATAAACAGACACAAACACTGACTGATAGGCATAAGCGCTGCAATATACCCATGCAAATACCCCACCTAGCACACATAGTCCACTGTTAGTGGCATAGCTGATAATGGCCATAAATCAAGCTGCACTTTACTCATTTGGTCAGCAGTCTATAGTCTGACCATACTGACTCCTTTAGACTTTATGCCAGCACTGTGGGTAATTTCTGGACTATGCACAGCTGATTAAAGAAAAAAAAGTTAGGATGGCTAGAAATCAATATTTTCGGATTTTTATTCAGTCATTGAATGAACTCAGATGAGTAAACATTAGCATGCTTTGAAGATGAACCAACACACAAGTCATCCAGGAAGCTTAAACACACATAAATATTGACGAGAAAACAAAGTTTTCATCCGCACTTAAACATGGTTATTTTTATATATTATTTAATGCACAATTTGATGATGAATAGTGCCATTTAAAATTATCATAACTGTATTGGCCCACCTACCTTTTGCGCCAGTGCGATCATTTTTCTGACAACCTCTTTGATGTGAGCGTGACCATCCAGCGGCGGCTGCGTGTACACCGTAGTGCGCGTCACCCCCCGGTACGCATCGCTGTCGGGCCAGCCCAGGTCCATCTGCGGGATGGACGTGTCCGACAGCTCTGGCCAGTAGTGAAGCGACAGCGGGGTCTGCACGTCTTCGGCATCCCCCGAGAACAGCTCCAAGCCCGGGTCATAGGGTTCGACGGCGCCGGTGAGAGCTTCCAGCTCCGGGTCTGAGAGGAAACCCCGGAGGCCGCGAGCCTCCAGGTATTTAAAGAACGCCTCGCGACCATCCCGCAGGAGAGCCTCCAGCGCGAGCCGCTGGTCCTCACAGTAGAAGAACTCGGGCTTGGACTCGTGCGTCCGCGGGTTCACGTGTTTATCATCCAGGCACTGAAGCTGGGATAGAGCCATGTCGCGAGCCCGAAATAGTTAACTGAAAAATAGCAATACAACTTTCATGAACCACCCAGTTCTACGAGGCAGTTCTCCAAAACGTCTCCAGACTTTGGCTGAAGACAGACGCACCTGTGTGCTTTAATTCCTCGCGTTTCTTTAAAAGAGCTGAGCAGCTTAGCTCGAGGTCTGGTAAATATCTTTCATCTTGTCGCCTGCTTCGGTCAGCGCTATAATTCCGCTGGTCAGCCATAATGCATTAACACTGAGCCATTGTTACTACCAAGCTGAAAGGCTACCCGGCAAGAGAGAAAGTAAATAATGAGCGACATGCTGCGTGCGGCACCGCCCGACAGGTGTGACCCTAACAGGCAAAACACACCTACCCACACGCTTTCAGAAAAAGGCAGACCTTTATCACGTGACCTTCAGGGCTTCCCAGTTTTATGAAGTGTTGCACCGCTGGCAGCAGGAAGATGTCCATCCCTCGATTTGTCCATTAAATCATTTACATGGCACCTCATGTGAAAACCATCAGCGGATCATACATAG